TTGTTGGTGCTGCTGTTGTTTGTGGTGAGTATTGATGGAACTCGGACTGCTGCTGCTGCTGCATCCCGTAGTAAAGCCAGTGTGCATTTTGCCACCGAAAGCCATCATCATGTTGCTGTTGCTCAGACGCAAAGACGACGAAACTGGCCCGGAAACGCTAAATAAAGGGGTTGTCATTGACAAAGAAGTAGAAGCTGCAGGCTTTTTGCTGCTAGAAGTAAGTTTGAAAAATGAGAGTGTCGACGACGATGAGATTCTGAAAATTGGTGGCCCATGTCTCTTTACACTAATACAATTTTCTGTCAAGTTCCTCTAACAGATCTCAAACTTTTTTCATTTTCTAAATAGGACTAATTTTAACAACTGCTGAGGCAATTACATACGTATGTATGTAGAATATTCCATAACGACAGGGTAAACGTATTATATATGTGATATGTAATAAAACAGAAATGATTAATTCATTGTATTTAACAACTAAACTATTTATACTGTACTTTTTTAGTTCAACATTGAATAAGCAAATCTTTTTTTCCAGAGCCTCAAAAGATAAATATAGGATTCATGCAGGACACAGATTAATCTTGAAGTGTCAAGCAGTGTTACAATAAAAATAGAGAAAAATAATTAAGATGAAGGATATTTTTCTAGGTAAAAATTTTCTCTTTCAACAGTTGAGTTAAACATTTATTTAAAACTGCTTATCCTTCATAGTCCATACACCATAATATTTTTTCGTTTATGTATGAATCCTTCTTTGCGAATTTGTACAATTTATATGCACAATTTTGAACATTTACTTTTGCATACTCTTCGAGCCGCCAAATACAATATATATTTGTAGGTAATTTGTTAGAAAACTTACTTTGTGCATGTACAAGGCGCTTTTTCCATGGGGTCGACAAATCCCCAAAATTGCAGTTGCTGCATCCGCATTTTCATCTCCATCCCGTTAATATCCTTAACATCTTTAACGTCACTCGTATTTGTGTTGGAACTTTGCGTTTCAACAGAACTGCTGCTAGTGCCTCCGCTCCCCATACTGTTGTCGATGTTCCTATTATTACCACCACTAGTTGAATTACAATCATCGCCACCTACTGAACCACTACTCGTTGCAGTATTTCCGCCGGTCGTGGTGGTATGGGATGAAGATGATATGTTGTATCCAGCAGCTCCAGCTGCGGCACTTGTGCCCACTACCGAAGTGGCTACGCTGGCCGCATACGCCACATGCAAAGTGTTCGTTACACAATCCTGCCATACGCGCTCCGGCATTTCTGTAGCTGCCTGTGGTGAGGCATGAGTATTAGTTGTGCTGCCAATAAAACTACCTGGGGCGGTATCATAGAAGGGTTGCGTTCTTGCTGTCAGATCATGCAAACGTTGCTCAACCATTGCTAAACTGCTATTGCTGTCGCCTACACTATTGCTGTCATCGCAATGACTGCTCGACGTAGCAACAGTAGTTGTTATGGTGGTTACTGCGTGTAATGGTTGTTGTTGTTGCAAACCACCGGGGTTAAGCGATGTTGGCTTTCGACTACCGCCGCCAGCAAATTCATTGGAATTTGCAGCTGAAATGGCGGCCAATGCAGCAGCCTCCGCAGAAGACGTTGTACCCAATGAATCCTTTTGCGACGCAGCCGCTTCCATTTCCTCCATGTCATCCAAATCAGTGACTAGTACATACATTGAGGGATGATACATTTTATGTCCACCTAAAAATTACAGCAACCGTAAATGAAAAAGCACATTAAAAAGTTCAAAAACTAGTAAAAAGCTATGTAAAAATCTCACCTGACACAACTTCAACTACTGGTGGCACGTCGGAGTTCTCCTTATTGCACAATGGAAAGAACGACGCCCAATCTTCTAAAATCTTTTCGGCCATTGGATCCGTAGCTTTGAAACTATTACCAGTGAGCGTTGCCGCCATACCAAATGGCGCCAATATAACCCTTCGCGGCTTTGGCATGGAGGACGTATTTGGGGAATTTGAGTTGGTTACACCATCTCCATTACCACCATTGTTGGGATTATGTGGACTCACCACATCATCCGGCAAATTCGTTGCATTGCCATGTTCATGAGATTGCGTCAGTGTTTGCGAATTGGTAGCCGCAGCAAATGCAGCACCCGCTTCTGTTAAATGCTCCTTGGTTAAAGGACGCACCGCTGGGTGTTCTCTCAAATCAATTGATGCGCACACGGTATCCCCATGGACGAAGAACGTAAATGAAAATGAAAGGTGCTGCGAACTGAAGACAATTTTTTTTTTAATGAAAATATAATTAACATTTAAATCAAATACTATTAGTGGAAAATGTAACAAATTGAACGATGATCCACGTTGTGTCTCATAACTGGACCACAGAGAATTTGTTACCAATTTACTTTAGGATATCCATTAGGACTTATTGTTCTAAGATTGAGCCAAACAAAAAGCCAGAGGTATATAGCGGTTATCCAAAGATAAAATCTAGCTGTCTGTGACTTACCTTCTACCAAAGAGGCGATCGTTGGAAGTACACGGCTGAACGAACCACTTTCCAAAGCGTACAATATCCTTGGTCAATACGAACCTATGAAAATATTTTAATTTATAGTTTTGCCATTGCACGACTAATTTGATTTTGTATTGTGCTTACCGCTCCATTAAGTTGTGCAAAGCTTTGAAGAGAAGTGAGCGGCATTCGTAAGTTAGACCCCGCTCCCAGGTTCCATTCCATAGTGCTTGGTTAGCTGTAAATAAAAAAAATTTATACATCATTATTAACTTTTAAAGGCACATTTTTAATATACGGTGGATTCTCAAACAAATTTTATAATACAAGACTAGTTAATCAATTAAAGAGATCCTCTTGAAGACTTTGAAGAGTTTTGGAATGATTTGGATATGCATAAACCTGCGGTCAACTAATTAGCACCGAAATTCAAAATGATATTGTTTGCAACTTATGTTTATTTATTTTTAATAATTTGCTATAGCTGCCAGCTGAGCTGTTCCAGTATGCAGGCGAGGAGTTGATAAGGTGCATGCATCAACTATTATGCAGAATATGGTCAGGTGAACGCATGCCCGACGACTGGAATTTAAGTGTGCTCTGCCCAATCCACAAGAAAGGCGACCATTCGCGCCGACTACCGCGGGATCAGCCCTGTAAGTATAAGTAACAACGTCTTAGTTATTAAGCGTATTATGTGAAAGACTGAAGCCCACCGTCAACGAACTGGTTGGGCCTTATCATTGTGGCAAATCCACCATAGGCCAGGTATTCACAACACGCCAAATCTTGGAAAAGACAGCCGAGAAAAGGATCGACACTCACCTCACTTTAAAGCCGCTTTCGATAGCACTAAGGAGTTGCCTATACGCCGCGATGTCTGAATTTGGCATCCCCTCGAAACTGATACAGCTGTGTAAAATCACAGTGAGTGAATCGGAAAAGACCTTTCATATTATTTATTTAACCTGACGTTGAAGAAGATAAGAGGTGCAGAACTGAACCGCTCAGGAAACATTTTTTTCGAGAGCGTGCAATTGCGGGCGTACGCCTATGACATCGATATCATCGGTAACAAGAACCGCAAAGTATGTTCTGCCTTTTCCAAGTTGGATAAGGAAGTAAAGTAAGAATGGGTCTGGTGGTCAAGGAGGCCAAGGCGAAGTATCTCCTGTAATCAAACGAAAAAGTCAGCGCATTCGAGCCTTGGCACCCACGTAATTGTTGACATTTATAGTTTCGAGCAAGTGCAGAATTTCGTTTACTTGGGAACCCGCATTAAGACGGATAATAATGTCAGTATCGTAACTTGCCAACAAGTGCTACTTTGGACTTCGTAGGCAAGTGAGAAGTAAAGTCCTCTCTCGTCGTACAAAGATCACACTCTGATTAGTCACTCATCATGCCTGTGCTGGTGCATGGCGCAGAGGCATGGACAATGAAATCATCTGATGAAGCGGCTCTTGGAGTTTTCGAGAGAACGATTTTGCGAACGATTTACAGGCATTTACGCGCTGGCGATGGCGAAGACCGCAGACGATTTAAGGATGAGCTGTATGAGCTTTACCACGACATAGACATAGACATAGTGCCGCGAATTAAAATCCAGCGGCTCCGCTGGCTTGGCCATGTCGTTCGAATGGACTCTGACGCTCCAGCTCTGAAAGTATTCAACTCGTAACCCGTTGGTGGTAGCAGAGGAAGAGGGAGACCCCACTGAGATGGAAAACCAAGTGGAGGACTTGGCTTGGAAAGTTGGAAACAGTTAGCACAGAAGAGATACGACTGGCGTGCTTTGTTGAACTCGGCCAAAATCGCTTGGGCGGTTACAGCGCCAAATAAGAAGAATTTTCATTTAATATATAATTCACAATAAAAGAAAACTCACTTATATATGGAAGAAAATGCGCAACATCCTCCAAGAAAAAAAAATCTAAAAAAATCAACGGTAATTTTTAGCGACTTGAAACTTGTACTTTAGTATAATAACTAAAATCGAATGGGCTATAAAACTGCACACTCCAATTATAAAAATCGCAATTTTGATAAACATTTTTTTAAGTTTAATTAGTTTTTGTGAACTTTGTGCAAGCTTTGGAACTTTTATTTATGAGGTATCCCGTATAGATCGACCCATATTTTCAAAAATATTAACAATAAATAACAGTATAATTTCAATTGTGCTACTATTATTTTGAACGGCACTGCATGTAAGTTATATTTCAACATAATCGCCAAATTTTTTGATGATGGTGGTGAGGTCTGGGATCAATTTTTTGATGTCTGTCTCGAAAAAGACTCCCATCAGCTCCCTCGCCCACTTCTCCGACCCTCGTCCGTTGAAACACTTGTTCTACCAATGTGCACCTGCACAAACAAGAGTCCAGGAGTTGCTTCGGAGCACCGACCGTGTGAGATCTGGCATTGCCGTGCAGCAGGCAGACTCCCTTTGTTAGCATGACACCAAACTCCACCCCCCACACCGTTTACCTCATTAAAAATCTCTACTGGAATTTTTCCCTTCACAACGTGATAGCGGATATGCCTGCGCGGATTTCGCACTTGGCGGGAGATTGAACTGGCATTTTTCGCAATAGATGCTCTTGACAGTTTGTCGAAAAAAAAATATGCCCTACGGCCGTGAGAGCTCCAGTACACTTACTTTCTGGACGTTCCCCGTAGAACGTAAACATTGCGAGTATGCAAGAATGATAGAATACAAGATTGAGCATTCCCGGCTTATATTGTTTATAAAGAGAATTAATAAAAAAATTAAAAATACAGTAATTTTTGCGAAAGTATTTCAGTGCATTTAAAGCTTCTGCGGCGTTGTTTACTTTTACTTGAGAATTGTCAAACTCGGCGAAACCAAAGTAGCGGCTTGCGGAATGTGTCAGCTTTGTTCCGTACATCGTGCCGAATATATATACAAGGAGAGAGTTTAACGATTAGAGCGGGATAGCTGTGTTATATGTCAAAGCAATTAGGCACACCAACACACTATGGGTATTCATATAACCAGCTAAATGTCTTGTAAACGCGAAAACCTCGTAAATAAATCGTTTAAATGAATACCCCTATTATCTTTTTACTTCCCTTTTATAAGCTCCGGATGTAACTATGTAATATTGATGCGCCTAAAAGATGCAGCGATTTCTATTCTCAAGTTGCATACCTGATGACAGTACGAAGGAAAATTATAATAGCGAGTTTTAGTTTCTTAGGGCCGGTTACTCAATGTCTGGTTAACACTAATCTCCGTTTAAACATCATTACCGACGTGTTCGGCTCCATGCATATAACATGGAGTGGGTAACGTCGACAACGATGTTTTACCGGAGATTAGTGTTAACCAGACATGGAGTAACCGGCCCATAAACTATAATTTTATTTAGCTCAAGCTTGCGTGTGGTAGTGACTGCTTCTGCTGGTCGCACTGCTATTGACGATGCCAACCCAGCCAGCAAAAAATCCGAGTACCGATCCGAAAAAGGACAAAAAAAGTGGATGAAGTGCGGATTTTTGTCCGTATACTGATTCTATTTCCGGATACTTTGACGATCCGTTTTCCCACTAATGTGTGCGGCAGAAACGTATGTATGTACAAACAACAGTATGTGAAACGCATACGTTTTCGGCTGTTTTTTCTGAAACTTGTCTGATAGAATTTTTCGTTCAATACGCTTTCCTTCTGCACTTCACAGATACCTTTTCATGGCTCAAAAAAAAAAAATCAAATAAAATTAGGAAGCGCCCGGCTCCTGCTGGAAGCTAACAAACAGCGATACGCTCCTCTGCACTCTCAGCCACTGCCGACTAAGCATGCATGCTTTTAAATGTTTAGCTTGAGCAAATAAAATACAATTATTGCTTTCAAGTGACATAGCCTTTTTCGAACGTTTTCCGGATACGAAAATTGATGATAACTGTAGTTTTTTGTATGCGTTTTCGGATACGGAAAATTGAACTAAACTGCATTGTCGGCAAAATTTGCGTTTCTTTGCTGGCTGGGAATTAATAACTATAAGATGATGTTACTAATCGACGACGCTGTTAGTAATCACACGAAGCGGCAATGCCGAATGCACCGACGAAATACAAACATATGTATGTATGGATGTACAAATGTTTAGTATGTATATAGACATCTTAAAGCACATAATGCGCATAGCATGTTTCAATATCCAGAAAGCTGGAATGCGGTTACCTATTTTGAAGAAAAAATTATGAAAACCCTTAGAAAAGCTGAAAAGAATAAGTCTTGGTAAGTTAAACCCGTTTCTTGACCTTTACGGTCTCTCGGGTAGTATTAAAAAATAACTGACTGAATACACTAAGTAGATTCGCTAGCACAGTAACGTATGTATGTACGTGTGAGCTGAGCTTATTGCTTAAACTGCTACCGCCGAAATACTTAACGGTAGGACCGGTACTGAACAGCAAGAGCTTTATTAGGTTAAAGTCTCACATCTCTAAGCAGAGGCTTTCGAACTTCCTTATCGTTCAAAAAACAAAACGTGCGTATGTATATGCAGGCTTGTGCATATGTTTATCGTGCAGGTGCATATTAGATATAAACAAGAAAGAAACATAAACAAATACAAAAATGCCAATCGGAAAACCACATCAGGGCAAATAGCCATACAGTCGCGAGTAGTAGTACATACAAATAAATATGTACATCTGACTTGTTCACATGGGTTTGCGTGTAAACATTTACATACATATGTACCATGTATCTTCGAACATAGACAAGTTCTCTTCGAGCATGCTCAAAGAACGCAAAATCGACTTTTAAATACTACCACATTAACAAAATGGAAATGGAATTATCAAATCAACAACCAACTATGACGAATACCAGACAAAAACAGTCACCAAAATCCGAACAACATCAGAGAAGAGCAATCTAATTTACCTCTCGCTACAAGCCAAATGACGACATAAAACCTTGTTGCGAAGAAAAACCTATGCATGCACATATTTATGTACGCATGAGCATAGAGCAGAGAGTAAGCAATTTTACAGTAACGGCAATAATGTATAAATTAAACTAAGCGTGCTGTATTTATGTATGTAGGTAAACAAACTATAGTATAGTCTTAAAATGTACAAACATATAGGGAGTTCACAAGGTGCTGTATACTGCCGTACTGTTGGATGTCATAAACTTTAAACGGCTAAAACTATATTTAAGGAATTCGCAAGCTAACATAAAAGTTTTATTATGAAATTTCA